TGTTTCCAGTTCTTACCTCCAAACAAGATCTCAGCTCCTTTCCAGCCAATAACCCCGTCCCTACTCCTTATTGCTAGCTCTCAAGACCTAAGGCACCACACCCCTCCCATTCCCGTCTCACTCCCTTGTACTTCTATTTCGTTATCCGAGAAGAGCACACCACAATCACTGTAATTCGTCTCCGAACCCGGCTCACTCGAGTCGATTCTTAATAATTGCCTCGTTGGGTTACCGCCAAGAGTTCCTCCTCAGCAAGCGTGATATTTCATCTTTCCCTTTCAAATAACAGAAGTGGTAACACAGCAAAATTGAAAAGCATCTCTTCCGTAGGCGATGCTATATTAGTATTGGAAAAGACGTCTCATAACTTAAAAAGAATATTTAATTTTGACTTAATCTCACTATTAACTCCAAATCCAACTCTTTACATAGCGCAGAGAAGTGGATAAATAACAAACCTTGCAAGCACATACACGCTGAGAAATTATCGGAAAAATAATTGACTTCAGAGACATATTGCTCATAAGTTTTATGCAAATTTTAAACAATTATGTAAAAACTTTGGTGCAAAATGCATTGGTATGTTTGTGGTGTTCAGGCGTATTTTCAATAGCATCAAATCCACAAAGAAGACCTCCTAGGTGACCATGGTGTTTTTGACAACATAGACTACGAACAGTTAAGATAACTAACAAGCTTATCAAATCAGACCAGAACTTTGAAACACGCTCGATTAATGATGCTTTGCGTTGAAAATTAAGTCTTTATTTGAATTTTTATTTTCGGATACCATATTTTACAGGTTGCAATTTGATGGATAAACCAATTCTGATTACAAAATCAGTGAAAAATCGGCCGAGATCCAACGAAAGGCCAGCAATGACAGATCACATCCGTTAAAAAACAAATGATTATTTCGAGGAAAAGGCGGGAAGGAGGTGAAAAAAGTAAGTTTTTATTTAAGTTGACAAAGTATTATGATGAAGTTTGTGCTATCCTCCGTTTAATTTGACTTCAAACCTATCACATCAAATAATCAATTCGCTTAGCCTGCTAATGTAACATTAAAGCATGCCTTCTTCTCCTTAAACATAATAAACCTCTTTAGTGTTACTTTAAACTTAATGCATATTAGAAGTTGGAAGTTAAGAGTTACAGCTTATGTGCCCTGAAAAATTTCAAACAATTGCTTCTGAGAACCCTAACAAATCGTAAATATCCTGCTAATCAACCATGACAAAATCCATATTAGAAATTTAACATTTTTAACAAAAGCCAAGGATAAAGAGTCAATTAAAGGATAAAACTCAAGTGTTTACAAAATTTGTAGAGGCACCACAAAAGAATTCAGAGAAATTTTCAGTATTCCGTCAAACAAATCATGGCAAAATCCATAGCAGGCGTTTATTATGATTTACAGATGCTACAGTTGAAGTGCAGGCGAAAAAAAGTAGCCTATTTGCCCTCAAAACTTTGTAGAGGTAAGCCCATAGTGTTTACTGATGCTCTAAGCGCTAGTCATAAAAAGCCCGTTCCCAGTAACTTCAAAAATATTATATAGGTACCCCTAAGAATTCCGAGAAACCCCGGATATCCCCCTGAAACATTCTTAATCCATCGCGGGATTAAATTAGCTTGTCAAGAATTCGTCAGTAACTTACAATAAACCAGGAAACACATTATTAGTATTTCAACTTTGAAACCCAAAATTCTCTTTTTATAGTAATTAGCCTTATCATCGAGTTTACCAGGACTGCCCGGATTATCGCTGTGGTACCCCATGAATGTGGTACTCCGCTAAAACGAAAAAAATTACCAAGATTTTCAAGACAACCCACTATGTCAGTCTGGTGCTTAGATGTTACAGAAACGCGATGGCACAATCCAAGCTAAAATGAGGCCAAAAAAATTCAATTTAGCATGGAATTGTGATAAATAGTCCTCTGAACAGAGGGCTACAATG